TAATGACGTTGTGAAGCTCCAAAATCGTTTTGATATAACGTAAGCAATCTTAGTAATATTGATTAGAAAGTTTAATATATTAATTTTTGTTATAGAAATTATTTTACATTGTTATCATAGAATAAGGATTTAAGGATAACGTAAATATCTTAAGCTGGCCGAACCTGGTGATTTGTGAGACATCATCCAGTTTACAGCCGAAAATATTGCTAACAACGAAGGTGTCCACCTCGGGAAATAACACATTCTAATCTTTATAAGAAGAACGAAAGAACAGTCTGTATAATTAGCTGTACTCTTTGGTTTTTGATTATGTAGCTGGCTTTGATCGAAAGTTGATATTAATTATTCCTTCTTTCTTTGAGTTATAAATATTTCACTTATGTATGTTTGTTTGCGAATAAATAACAGTTTATTATTTGTAAGCTAATGTATTTGTTTTTGTTGTTTCACAGTTTTTTACGCAATTGTTCAAGTATCTGGTTAGATCTTTAAACTTGGATTTATATCAGTTTGTTAAATTTGTTGGTAGCCAAGAGAGAGCGAAATCCCACACTTCTTATGAAAATTGCAAAACAATTTACACGGTGAGCTGTTTCAAAATAGACAATCCAAAAGTTGAACACAACGTAAAACATAATGTATATCAATAACGTCCATTTGTGGACTTTGTATTTTTGTTGGGTTTTTTAGGGAGGGGGGCAATACATCAGTCTATCAGAATATAATACATCTTTTCAGTACTGTTATTATTTTCAGCAAAATGTTTTTGTTAGGCCACAGGTGTAGGAACTACTTTTCATCAGCAAATTGAGCGTTAATCTTTGCATGAAAACCATTTTAAATATTATTCCAAAAATATAAACAATCTTTTTATTTTATTTATTTCAGATATTATTATATTATTTTACATTAATCTAAAGTTTATTCTGCATACGCTTTAAAAACAAATCACAAAAATTAAACAAAGAAGTTTATTATCATTTTAAATATCCAGCTTTTTAACTATTATTTACAAATTACACGAAACAACAAGTTGAATAATGTCAAATTTATATATCCCAAGTGTTCGTAGTGTTCTAGTAATTGTAATAAATCATCACAAAGTGGACCTTTTTGTAAAGTATGGCTACACACGACTTGTCAGTTCTTTTTGATTAAGTGAAATTTCTGATGATAGCTAGTAAAATCATATTGCGTTTAAATAAAAGTTTTCTTTATTTAAATTTTAAATGTGAGACCGTATGCTAATTGAAATATAGACAAATGCATTTATATATATTGTTACGACAGCAGAGGTCACGTGACGCTAGTAACACGTCATATTCTCGAAGCTTCGTGAAGCCTCGAGTGTTTACTAGATATGCGGTATTCTTGTATATAAGACCGCCAAGAAGTGACGGCAACAATGGAATATAATTGAACTGCAGACAGAGAGAGACTGACAATTGAGTCGAGCACGTGAGTCGTTCGTTGTGAATTATAGCGTTTGTTATAGCGTGATCGTGGAAATTAAGTGAATTTCAAAGTTGTATTGAGAAAGAATAAACTAGTTTTGTCTAAGAAAGGACTTGTGTCGCAAAAGTTTCATCGGAAAGAAATTATACGGGAAATTAAGTAACGACCAGAGACGTAACAATATCTATATATATAAAAGAAGAA